ATTCCACCCCAGCAGAAAGGAAGGAGTTAACAGCACATGACATGGAGCCCTTAACACAGAAGACAGAAGCTAGAGTTCTCAGGAGTTTGCCACACACATACCATCTCAGCTCAAGAAATCTCTTTCCACACTACTCTAAAAATGCAACCTAGTTAGTACTAGTAGTTTATTATTACTAAGGTTACTGTCACTTACCTTGGTGTGCACAGTAAATTTGACTTTATCTCTCTCACTGAGCGCATCAGGTATGTCGATCTGAAGTGAAGGGTCAACATTCAGGTCCACAGACACAGATCTCAGCTGAAATATATTTTAATTATTAGCCACTTGTTTAGCTCAGAGAGTATTTCCCACTGGGAGAGGGAGCACTAGCAAGCATTCTTTAATGTGACATGGCCAGACCATCCAAAGATCAAACAGAACCAAATCGTCTATTTGAGCAGGACATGGTGGTGCATGCCTTTTAATCCCAACACTCACAAATCTGTGAGTTCAAAGCCAGCCTGGTCTACATAGTATGTTCCAAGGCAGCCAGAGCTGCATGGTGAGACCCTGTCCCCACCCTCTTTTACCCAGGAAAAAGGTCTACAATAGATCAGAATGGCATAGTCATAGTCTTGAGATGTCACTCAGGTGTGAGGATCCTGGGTAGAATGGTAACTAGGTTTCTATTTAAAATAATCTGGGAACTGAACCTCCAGTACCACCAAAACAAATGACCCTAACAAAACAAAACAAACTCTTTTCAAAATAGATTCATTAAATCTAGTTGTTTCTCTTCATCTCTGAAGCTGAGCTTGGCAGGAACACTCCTGATGGGAGATATCATTCTGTATATGTTTCTCATACTGGTTAATAATAAAGCACTGTTGGCCAATAGAATAGGAAGATAGGAGGGACTAGGAGACAAGGAGGAAATAGGAAGTAGTAAGGAGGAGTCAGCATGGAGAGCCTGGAGAGAACAGAACCGCCATTCCTCCGCTCTCGGTAAGACCATGTGGAAATACATAGAAATGGGTTAATAATTTAGACAGAGCTACCGATAAGAAACTAGCACCTGGCCAATAGCATCATATCAAATACAGAGCCTGTGTGTGTTAATTGGGGCAGGCGCGGAGACGGGACAAGAGTGACGGCCGAAGGAAAAAACCTGTCTGTACTCCTTACACACTCCCAAGATCAGCTAGCTGGGCAACTCAAACTGGACTTGATTGAAGGCAGAAAAAACACTTTTTGTGTTTGGGTATGAGAAGGGAGGGTGGTTATAGAAGGAGCTGATGTGTATGAGTATGTTCAAAATATACCATATGAAATGTAAGTTTTAGAAGGCCATTTTCAAAAAACCAGGAATTTAGAAATACATTTAACTACCTAGATGTGGTGGCACATCCCTTTAATCCCAGCAAAAGCAGGTAGGTATCCGCTGAGTACAAGGCAGCCTGGTGTACAGAGTTAAAGGACAACCAGAGTAGTTGTTTTGGGAAAAAAAGAAGAAAAAAAAGGAAAAACCCACAAAGCCTTATACAAATGCACCTTCCCCCCCCAAATGCAGAGTTTAGTTTCTTAAATGCCCATGAGATCCCTGAAGACAGTTTGTAGCTAAGCAACATACACACAGATATAAGCTTACTTATAGAACAAATTTTCTTCTATAATCAGAGTATATGCCAAGAGACTAGATACATTTCAAAGCCTGAAGGCCAAGTGATTTCTTTAAATCACAATTTTGCTTAGTTCTGACATTTGTGATAAAGCAACCTTCCGTCTATAACTTACTATAGAGTAGAGACACAGCTTCCAAAAACTAACAAACTGTCACCCATCTTTCTTGACTGATTTATGGTCAAATGGGCTCTTAAGAACAGGTTAGCCAATCTTTGGGACACTTCTTTCTCTCTCTTTGGTTTGAGATAGATAGGTTTTCTCTGTGGGGCCCTGGCTGTCCTGTTCTGTAACACACTATGTAGACCAGTCTGACCTTGAACTCAAGAGATCTGCTTGCTTCTGCTTAAAGGTGTGAGCCACCACTGCCAGGCTCAATTCCCGATCCTTAAAGAACTCACAAACCCTGGTTGTATAGTTAATATGCTATATTCAGTGGTTCTTTTTAATAGTTTCTCATGTTGAGTGAAGCCCAACATGTAAAATAGGACATGTAGCCCCCCCCCCAAAAGTTGAGAACTGCTTGATGAATATTTGGACAACCCTGGCAAACCCAGTATAGTAGGAACTATAGTGGGGGGGGGGGGAGCACGCCCCGCAAGTGATCAGGTAAAAAGGATTTCTCTTAAGGACTATAGGCAAAGTGATTATGGAGTGCAACAGAGTTAACTATCTGTTCTTCTTACACTAACACCCAAAGTATATAGCTCCTACCACTTACATCTACATGCAGCAGTAAAAAGTTGTGCAATGCTTAGTACCAAGTCAGCACTTCTAACATTCCAAAGCCACCACACAGAATATTCAGCATTCCTTTTTATGCTCAGCTAGCAAAACCAACACCCAGTAGTCCAAACCATAAACAGCATTTGCTAAATAAACCAGGCCCAAGGATAGAAAAGGGTGGTACACATCTTGTCACCTACCTCATCTCATGACTTATTTTAAATTATAATGCAAGTAATTAATTCATACCCCTTTCCTTCCCCCACAACAATCCCATATACTACTCCTTATTCTTCAAACATGCACTCCTATTGTTCACACTCTCCTAAATACACAAGTAAAACCCACTCAGTCTGTTACTTGTGTTTTCAGGCATGACAATTTGATATTGGATAACCAAATTGTGTGTCCCGCACCAAGGAAGACTATTTCTTCACTCAGCATTCTTCAGTTGTCTGTATGTAGTTCTTTGGTTGAAGCCTCCTAGACTTCCCTTGTCCCTGTTAAGCATGCCTATTGTTCATGTCAAGTTTAGTTAAGTCACGTTGCCTTGTCACAGGTGTAGTTTCTGACATTCCAAGGAGACACAATCCCAGAGTAAATTCATTGTTGCCCAGGCTCTTAGAATCTTCCTGCCACCCTCTTCTGAAATGACCTGAGCCATAACTCTACATTTTGATTGGTTGTAATTGTTCTTTAATGGCCTGCTATTGCGAAAATTAGTTTCCTTAATGAGAGGTCAGAGCTACCTACACAAACCTATGGTTACAAGGACAAACATTTAGAATTTAGTTAGGGATTATGCTGGTTTAGTTAAGTGTCACTTGTAGGTATTCCTCCAAATTCATGACTTCACTAACCCTGGGTAGGGTTCTAAGTTTCCAGTATCAGGTAACTGATAATAGGAACCCTCCCGAAAGGATCCTAAGTTTAACTATAGAGCTGCTGTGAGATAAGCATACCAATACATGCACTCTTAGGGTCATAGTTGTTGGTAGTTCATAGGTGCCACAGCTAGGTAGGAATGTTGTTTGTTTCCCTCCTTTAGAAACTTGCAAAGCACCTCCTGGTACCATGAAAGATAGTCTTCAAAGAGATCTTTCTTATCAGGTTATTTCCAGCTCATGGGGCCTCTGGCCCTGTGTCTGAAGTGCATGGTATCTTCAGCAGTAGTATGACTTACCTTCCACCACTGAAACAACCATGGGCAACCCAACAGCCTTATTTTGGGGAGTCTCTTGGATAAACTCCAATTAACCTCTCAAAGATGGTAAGCATGCTTCAGAAACCAGCCTTCTTATACCTGGTGTTTCACTCACTCTTGGGGGGTACCAACAGCCCATCAGACCCCATGAATGTTCTAAAGAAAAGTTAATTTTAGTGTGTGTCTGTCCATCCTCTGGTTGCTGAGGCCAGATCAGATCCAAAGGTATGAGCTGTTGACATGGATGCTGGAAACTACTCTGAAAGTTAGGCCTATTCTGAGTTGAGTCAGCCGCTTTCCCTGAAACTTGAAGCATTAAGGTACTGGCTATTACTTCACAGTATTGGCCAACACTGGGCCTAATTTGAGCCAAATGCCTTAGAGATTGAGTAGCAAATTTGTTTAAATCAGAAGATGCATGCTTCAGACCCAAATCCAACCTTGGCAGGCAAGCCAGTTACCTCTTAAGACCCCTTAAACTATTTGTAAAACAATGTCTACCAATGTCTACTCTCACAACTTTATGCCTCCCCACCACAATTATCTCTCAACAGGGGTAAAGAAACATTATTTTTGAGGAAGGCCTGGTACTTGCTGGCCTTGAACTCAAGAGGTCTGCCTGCCTCTTCCGAGGTTAAGGATTAAAAAAGGCTGTGGCAGAAGACCATGGACAGGGCCAGCTGGTTCCAAGTAGCTGGAATATCTATCTTAAAATATGACTTCGGAACACAGGAACAAAAATGAGACATGGTAACTGCTTAGGTTGTCATAGTACTTGCAAGCTCTCCATTACACCAGTGCTATACATTCAAAATGCTTTGTTAATAAAAGTCACACATAATCAGGCAGTGCATGTGGATGTGTTAGAAGCCAGCCTGGTCCGAGCCAGTTCCAGCACAGGCAGGACTACAAAGTAACCCTGGGGAAGGAAGAGCTATATACTATATTATTCCCTATTTCCATTTTTATTTACCTACAAAGACATTTACTATGAAAGGGGGGGAGGGGACCTTTATATTTGAATGGTTTTTCCATTTCCCATTTCATTACTTTTGTTTTCTTCCGAGACAGGGCTTCTCTGTATAAGAGTCCTGGCTATCCTGGAACTCACTGAGATCCGCCTGCCTCTACTTCCCATTTCTAATGCAGGAAATATACAGTTAGAATGGTCCTAAATTCAAATGTTGGTAAAGTGAATCAAATTATCAGTCCTATTGCTTACTCCTATCTCGAGGATAACTAAATAATTTACAAAATTTATTATGTCAATACATGCGTACTAATGCACAAAAAGCAACTGAAACTCTCCATTTAAATGGCTCAGCCAGTCAAGCCAGTATGGAAGATGCATACTCACACAATAAACATAAAAAATATTTATGAACATGAACTAGAAGGGCTGCAAGAAGTGATCAGATTTGCACCACTCATCTTGGTGAGATGGAACCCAGAGAGACCCATCCCTGCTGACACCAGCCATTCTTACCAGTAATAGTCTACCAACACAAGCAATCTGCAATAGAACACTGCAGACAGCAAGACATTGGAGGCTACTCAGCCCCAAGTTCCCAGAACAGGAACTGAAGCTGGGAAGAAGGTCAGTGCAGCGCACTCAGCGAATGGATAAACAAAATCATCATTTCACAAGGCTGCAAGCCCAGATACTAGTCAGATTCAGTCAAGAGATCTTAGCTATCTGGATTATTCTCAAATAATCAAAGTTTTCATTTCCCTGTCTTAGAAGGATCTTCAATGGCTCACCAGAAAATAGGTGGGCACTTGGGCTAGCAAAAAGGCACTTTGTGGCCAAGTCTGATTACCTGAGCTAGATTCCCCTCAGGACCCACATTGGGGGGGGGGGGGGGGAAGGACGGATGATACTTCAAGTGTCCTGACTTCCACCATGTCCACACAAACTTAATTAAAAAGGGAGAAGGTAGCGTTAGCAATGAAGTCACTTTTGGAAAGCTAGATTATGCAAAAAAATTTCTCAATTTAGGTATTACTTAAAGTTTACTACAAGATGTCTGCCCTCTAGTTCCCTTCTGAATGATTACAAATAATGAAACTGACAAAAAAAAAAAAAAAAAAAAAAAAAAAAAAGATGATAATAACCCAACACCCCAGAAATAGAGACAGGATCTCTGCTAGTTTGAGGCCAACCCAGTCTACACAGTTCCAGGACAGCCAGGGCAGTTTCTTGAAAAAGAAACCCTCTCTGAAAGACAAAACAACAAAACTGAGTTATCACAAGGTTGCAACCACACTATATTTTTGAACACTTGAAGACATTCTGGTTTCTACTTACAAAACTGTTCTCACTTAACTGCTCAAGCAATAAATAGGTTGATAACACAATGTCCAAACAGCATAATTTTTAAAATTATGTGTGCACACAACTATTCTACATATCCTGATCCTCCAGCTTAATCTTCCTAAGTATGCTAGAGTTGTAGGTTTAGTCAGCCACATTCAGCAACTTTTTATATACCCAATCAGCAATACATTTTTTAGGTGAATTGCAATTCTGGGCCACAATGGCTTGAGTTCTGTAGTAAAAGAACCTCACATTTCCCAAATCCATACAGCTGCACTGTTGTAATGATAAATAAAATGTACAGAACTTGAAGGCCACCCTTTATCATTTTTGATGTTCCTCATAATACCTGGAAAAGGCCTCAAATGCTCAACAATCCAAGTTTAATGTAGCCTGTTATTTCCTTTCTCAACCCATCAACCATAGATTTAAATCCCTTCAATAAACCAGCAACTTCCACCTCACCCATCACACCATTTCATGATTCTCAACTAAGGGTAAATTCGCTCAGTACCAAAGGACATCTGACAATGTTTAAAAATAGGAGAGGTGGCTCCTGCCATCTCCAGTGAAACTATTAGCAGTCTACTAAGGAAAAGACAGTCCCCCAAAATGGGTTTGACAGGAAGCCTGACTTAACTCTAGATTAGTTGTCAGTCACTTACAAAATTTCATCAAATAAGCACCTTAGATCACAGTAAGCCAAACCTAGAAAACATTCCAAAAGCTGGCAGCCTAAACCTGAATACACCATAACTAGCTGAGGTATTCACAAATGGACACACCATGTGCAAGTTGCTGATCCAGAACTAAGGCGTGGGCCTCTTTCAGAAGCCACACTTCCTGAGTCATGACTACATAGCAAAACTCCACTCTACAAAATTGATCAATTTAGACTTGCTACAGTACTGATCAAAGTTCAAGAATGTCTATACTAACAATCACCGTTTTTTGTCACTAGGTCTAAGCATAGTTGTCCTTTTTATTAAGTCCATGTAACAAACCCTCCAGTCAAATTATTTATTATAGGCACTAGGGATTGTATTCAGAGAATTGCTCATGTGAGACAAACCAGCTACCAATGTTAACATCCCCAGTCCTCTAACAAGAAGAATCCCTAGTTTTAAATGGCTGTACAATAGTAAATGCTCATCATTTAGCTCTTGCAGGCACTAAAATAGGCTCAACTTCCAATCTCATTTCAAAGTTTTCTTTTTTCCAGATAGTCTCTATACAGGCTTCACCAGGCTGCTCTCCAGAGATTCTGCCTTTGCCTCCCAAATGCTGGAATTAAAGGTGTGGGATACCATGCCCTTTCATCATTTCCTTCTTAGACAATGTGTCACTATCTAGTCCAGGATGGCCTTGAAGTGAGCCTTCCGACTCAGCAAGCTGGGATTACAGGAATGCAACACCACGTCCATCAAAAAAAAAAATCCTCAAAATCAAAGAAATATCCAGTGATTGGAAGCCTGATCCCCCCCCCAAAAAAAGGTTCAAAGCACTTAGAGGTTGAGTCCCAGAGTTTCATTCCCACCACCATCTTTATTAAACTCCAGGGACTAGTCACTAGATGAAACTTAAGAATTACACCTTCATGCAACTGTCAAGCTAAATAATTAAGAGTATTTAAATAAAATCCTAAAATATATTAGCGGACAAATTTGCCCAACTTGGATTCCAGTTCTATTTTGACACTTGCCAATTTCCTTCAGATTTCTGCCATCCAGACCATATCAGCCAGTCTAGAACAGATCAGGCAACAAAAATGAAACCACGTGCTATAAGCAATAATTTACCTCAGTATTGTCTAACTCAAATGAGAAGGAAGCAAAAGCTATATAATTTTCTCTACTGTAGGTATGTATCTGCACTCACTAAACCCTTAATCATCTTCTCCAATTTAGGCCGATGGTGAACTCGTTTTTAAAATCAATTAGCAATTAATATCGACGTGGCCAAGTCATTTTACTTAGGTGATTCTGCTTCAAACTACAAGGAAACAGAGACCAGAAAAGTCATCAAAATCCCACACAGCACCTATTATAAATGCTAGGGGAGAGAAAAATTGCTAATTCTTTTATCGTAAAAGTAAACATCATGTACTAAGCTCTATTTTAACATAGCACCCTTGTTCCAACAATACCGTTATTGGAACAATCCAATTGGTGCTCCAAACTGGTGTTTACTTACTATTCAAAGATACTTTTTAAAAATCTAATTCAGGTCTTAACGTAAGAGCTCCTAATTTTTGAATTCCTTTTAAACTCACTTGTTCGACAAACTATACTGCCAATTCTTCACAAAATCTTGAGTCATAACCTAATTGTGTAATGGAAAATTCAAATTTAAAGGACCAAAAGTGGCATCTTTTACTTGTCTACATAGTAATCTCTGTTTATTGCATCAGACCTCAAGATATTTGCAGCTCGCGGCTTACATCAACACACAGGATTTACTAAAAATTACAACTCCCACAAGGACACGAATAGCTTTAAGTTGCAAGAAACATGCTGCAGATTCTTGATGGAATTTTCCCACTTGCTTAAACGAAAAGGCCGTGTTCTTAAAAGGGTGAGGATCGCCAGCGAACCTCCGATTCACTTTTCAATCACCAAGAAGTCAAGTTTTGGGAGCTTTTAAACATGTTCCTAACTAAGGTCTCCGGGATTAGCCGCACCAAGAGCTTAAAAAAAAAAAAAAAATCGAGGTCCCGCCTGTCTGGTTCTCCTTGGAGAGAAGGGAACGAGGGTGCAGAGACCACACGGGAAAAGGCGCTTTAATGGGGCCGTTGGGGATGGGGTGGAGGGGAGCTCCGGGTCTTGCAGCTGCTATCCTTGTGAGGACCGCCCGGACCCCAGAAAAGGAGCAGCCAGCACAGGGAGGCCGGCGGGACCTCCGACCCTAGGTAGCGAAGCAGGGAGGCCCTCACCTTGCTGCGGTCCTCATCCTGCTGCTCCAGCAACTCGGGAACCGCGGCCATGGCGACGCGGGCCTCGAGCAGAGGCTGTCCGGCTGTGCGAGGAAAGAAGAGGCTGGGCCGCCGCCGGGGCGCCTTTCAGGGGCGGCCGCGGCCCCGCCTCCGCCGGCCTCCCTGCCGGACGGCGGCTGGAGGCCGCTGGACTCCGCCACCATCCCAGCAGCCCCGGGCGCAGGCCAGCAGCACGCCACGTGCTCCCCCAGAGCGGCCTCCCCCGTCCCCGCGGCCGTCCATCTTGGAGCCGGGCAAAGAAGCAACGCGGGGCCCTACCCTCGCTCCGCGCCACGCGGACACCAGCACCGCAAGGGGACGGGGACGCGAGATCCGAGCACTCTCCAAACGAGGCGAGCCTCGAGAAAGGGCGCGCAGCGCGGCAGGCGGAATTTATGGCTCAGCCAGAGTCCAAGATGGCGGCAGACGGTGACGTATGCAAGATCTCGTGGAAGCGGAAACGCGAGACCTGGAGGTGCCCACGCTTCGGCTTCAGGGAAGGAGGAACGCCACTCGGGTGAGGCGTGAACCCCGCAGCAGTGCATGCTGGGACCGCCTCTTTAGGGAAAGCGCGGGAGCCGTAAAAGTACGGGTCCCGAGAGGTTGATCGCGCTCTGCGCTCAAAACCGTGGTGGTATCTCAGGTACAGACCGAACCCTGCAGTAGGCTGGGAGTCAGTTTAAATAGTCTCTTCCCTCTGCTCGAGGGGCCACGGTTGTGTCCCCGCCGTGGGAGACACCTGCAGAGGTCACTTTCTGGAATTAGGTTGTTGGGCCCTGCAGACCTACCTGCGACAAGTTCCACACCTGCAGGGGCTCCTGTCGGAGTCTGTACCACCGGGTCATAAGAGCACCCTTGTAAAGGGTGTGCGGAGTAAGTGAGAAATGCCCGTACTGAGTGTTTAGTAAGGAGTTGGCATGTAGGTGTCGGTGTTTAATTGTTAATTAGGGCTTGTGAGTTTGGTTTTGGGGTGTGTGTGTGATGGTTCGGCATGTTTTGTTTTTGCTTTCAGATACAGATAATGTGTGTGTGGTTGTCGGGGTGTTTTTGTTTTCAGAGACAAAGGCAAGCTAACCTCAACCTGGCGTCCTGTCTCAGCCCCAGGAATAAACGAGTCTCCTGGCCTATGCCACCAGGCCTTGTTATGTTACTTCAGACTAAAAGTTTAGGGAGTCTAGTCCCAAACGGCCGACACTGTGACATGTAACGAATGCTGTATAATTTTGATGAATTTTTCTTGGGAACGATTTATCTCCAAACGTCAGAAGTTTAATGTATGCACATTTGCTGTTTGTTCTTGTGTGGCTTTTCACTTTGATGGTTTGAGTATATTAAAACATACTAAATCTAACACCACTTTTTGTTTGTTTGTTTTTAGATAATACAGCATGCTTGTATGCTGTACAGACTAGAGAAAAGTAAGAGGGAAAAGACTAAACATGAAGCCATTTCTGACCATCTGCAGGCAGCTAAGAAGTTTAAACGGATTTTCTGTGAAACCAAGCCCTCTTGTGAGTTTCTCCACTTCCCCTTATTTGTGTGGTCAGAAGAAAAAAAACTCTTACGAAGCAGTAGACCAAGCAAAGTACTCTCGTTTAGTACGGTCTGTGTTGTCCAGAGGCCCAGTCCAGACCCCAGAGTCATTGTTCCAGGAAGATGATATACTCTACGGTCCTGTGAGCAAGCATAAGGCCCCAGAGCAAGAGCAGCTGGCAAGAGTTCCACAGAACTGGTTTCCTATCTTCAATGAGGAGAGAAACGTGAAGCCACATACAAGTGCTTCTGCGGGCCCTTTGAAGATCCCTCTGCAGAGAAATGTGACACCCAGTGTGACTCGAATCCTTCAACAGACCATGACACCAGAACAGAGTTTCTTTTTGGAGAGGTGGAAACAACGGATGGTTCTGGAGCTGGGAGAAGATGGATTTGCAGAATATACTAAAAGTAATTCTCTTATTTCTAGTTATGTGTGGTCACTGGTTTTTAGGGTATAGAACATTCCTGTCAAAAGAGTGAGGCTTAAAAAACAACTTACTGAAGGACTACTTTCAAATAGCATTAAATAGCATTTCATGTCTAAAAGGCCAAGTTCTCAGCACAAAGGACATTTATTTGCCCAGGAGGGCAGAGAAAAACACAGGAGAAGGGACGGAGAAAGGGAAGAGAACAAGAAAAAGGGGACAGGGATATTTGTCCAGGAGAGACAAAGGACTGCCTCTGGATAGAGGATCGACAGGTGTGACACCTAGAAAAATGACAGTTTATAAACGCACAGGGGGAAACTCTGTGTTAGGGTGAGGTGTTTAGTTTTAATTGAGCACGTTAATTAGGTGAGTCAAAGGGGGCTTCTAATTGTTGGACTTTGGTAGTCATCCTTAGGAGAAGGAAGAGGCCAAATAAGGGACGAGACCTTGGTGGCTAGCTTTAGGAATGTAATCTAATGGTTTTCAGCAAGGCAGAGGGAATGGGAGAGAAGGGCAAGGCCTTCCAAAGCCATGCCTACCATACTTGAGCTGGCCTAACTGTTTTTACGGGGGGGGGGGGGGAGTACAGAGACCAAGTAATCTGACAAGTGTGCATAAAATGCATTGGTTTGTAAACAAACTACAGATTCTTTTTGTTTGGTTTGTTTTTTGAGATAGGGTTTCTCTGTGGACAGTCCTGCTGTCCTGGAACTCACTCTGTAGAATAGGCTAGGCTTGAACTCACAGAGATCCCCCTGCCTATACCTCTTGAGAGCCACCACCACCCGGCAGGCAAACTATGAATTCTTTTCCATCTCTTGACAAAAGTCTAGTTTTTTAATAGTTTTTTTCCCCCTCAGAATCTAATTATTACCCATTGTTTTGCTTATCATTGTCAGTTGACCAGTAAGTTTAAAAACTGGCCACAAGCCAGAACATATAATCCCCGCTTATATTTTGACTAATTGGACTGATCAGACATACTTGACTAGAAACTGGTTAAACTTTTGCCTTTGTTTTGTTGTTTTGTTTGTTTATTTTGTTTTGTTTTTCAAGACAGGGTTTCTCTGTATTGCTTTGGAGCCTGTCCTGGAACTAGCTCTGTAGACCAGGCTGGCCTCAAACTCACAGAGAGCTGCCTGCCTCTGCCTCCCAAGTGCTGGGACTAAAGGCGTGCGCCACCAACACCCCGCTGCCCTTTACTTTCTTGTTTTTAAATTTTTTACCAGTTCTTAGAGACTTTTGCATAATGTGTTTTGATCATATTGAACAACAGCCTTCGACTCTTGACTTGTTAGAGAGGGTAGCTTCCTTAAAGCAGGTCGTTTTAAGCCAGGCACATACCTTTAATCCCAGCACTAGTGTGGTAGAGGCAGGCAGATAGACCTCTGTGAAGTCAGCCTGGTCTGCAGAGCGATTTCCAGAGCTACATAGTGAGACCCTGTCTCGAAATAAAGCAAGATCTTTTTAAAAATAGACTTTTGAACCAGACATGCTGGTGTGTGCCTATAGTCTCTTTCCTCGGGAGATTGCGGGATAATCATGTTTGGGCCGGTCTGGACTACATAAGGAGATATAGACCCTGATGATGATGGTAGAGCTGGGAGGTGGGAGTGAACAATTGGCATAGGAGAATGAACTGTTCTCAGAAGGATTATATAGATGTCTTTGGTTAAAACTGGGGCTTACATAGACATTCTTTTGTTTCCCCAAGAATATTGTATGTACCCCTAGTGATATGAACACTTTTATTTTAAGATTATTGTCCTTATTTTTAGATAGGAAGAAAGTACCAAAATAGTGTAAACATGTAATTATGTAGGTGGTTCCTGGATATGCAGAAATGAGTAAGGCGTTGCTTTATAACATTCTTCAGCTGTGAGGGGCCATGATTATATATGCCAGGTGTGCCTTCTAATGATTGATAACTACTAAACTGTTTCAGTTGTCAGAAATCCTAAAATTATTGATAAGAAATGTAAAAGCAGCCTCAGCAAGATGGCTCCACAGAGGAGACTCTTGCTCCCCAGAATTCACACTGTAGAGAGAACCATTTCTGTCAAGTTATCCACACATGAGTGCATACATACACACATACAAAACTCTAAAATTAACTAAATATTTTTAAAAATGAGAGACAGAAACTGCTAGGCCATATAGATAAGCCTGGGGACCTGCTTGATAAAGGAGAAAGCTTCTGTATGGAGCTGAATGAGCTGACTGTCGGCATTAGGCTAAGGCTCTGCTGTGTTTCTCTGTTAATGTGTACTTTAAGCAATGAGCAAATTCACTTTCAAGTAAGGGGATAATCATATGTGGATTCATGCAATGGTAGAAGAAAGGAAACTGACCTTAATGGTGGGATCCTTCTGTCTCCTCCCAAGTGCTGGGATCACAGACACACATCATGCCCAGTTAACCTGTTCTTAAATTTTGTAAGTTGAATCATGTTTAATGTTTTCTGAGCCTAAAATTCATGGGATCCTTAGGTCTAGATGTTCATGGTTACATATATGTGAAGAATATATGTGAAGAATCTGGCCAGGATAGGTCTGTGGCTGGGAATTACCTATTTGCGTGGCAATGGATGAAGTAATTTTTTATTATTATTTGGTAACCCCGGTGGTTAAACTTATGGCCTTGTGTATGTTAGGCAAGTGCTCTGTTACTTAACTACCCCCTCCTGTTTTTAACAAGTTTTTCTTCTGATTCATTTAGTTTGTAGGCTAACGCGGCATCTCTTTAAATTTTAATTCCATCAGGGTTCAATTTCATGTAGGCCTTTCACATACAGATAACTTTACAGGGCCAAGAATGTGTGGAGTAAAATATTTTACCTCCTAAATTGAATTTCATTTAACTCTCCAAGTAATTTCCCAGATGCATTTTATGTAGAAATGGCCTTTCAAAAGTCTTTGTGAATTTGACAAACAGTATGGTTTGTTATGACCCTGTGTGGATGAGATTGTTTTCCTTACTTTGTGTCTGTTTGCAAGCTTGTGCCTCTGTGTGTATCTAAATCATGCCCCCTGGACTTAGCTCCTTGCTCTGCTAGGAAGATACTTGTACCAGGGTACTCTTGCTTTGGGAAAAATAACAGGACAGCCTAGGCTAGTGGGGAAGCCACATTCATTATCTTGCTGAGTTGTGTGAAAATTAAGTAATGGCACTACCTAGCCTAATAGTGCACCCTCTTTCTCTTTTCTCCTTTACCAATGATAAGTGACAATACAGCATTTCTTGTGTTTATTAAATGTTTGTGCTTCCTTTTCTTAATCTATAAGAATATAAGGAGGGTTAGGGAGATGGCTTATCCGTGCCTGCTAGGCAAACATTGTCACTGTAGCCTTAATCAAGGCTCTATTAAGGTCTACTAAGGGAAAGCTATTTCATTTTGCTCACGGGTATGAAATCTCCCTCCGGCCTGGATAGAGACCTAATATTACAACCTACCCAAAAGGGAAGAACTTATCCAGTTTGATTGGTCAGTCAGCCTGACTAAGGGACCACTCCTCAGGAAGGTATATTCACACAACACTATGCTAAGAGATGAAAGGAATAATTACCCTTTAATGAAGCCCCTGGTGTCCATGCAGTAGCCACTGAGCCACTTTAGATTTGCCTGACTCCAAATTATGAATTTTCCTTTTTTATTTGTGTGTGTGTGTGTGTGTGTGTGTGTGTGTGTGTGTGTGTGTGTGTGTGGCTGGCTGGCTGGCTGGCTGGCTGGCTGGCTGGCTGTGTTTTGGACACTGACCAGAGCCTATGTATGCATTTTTCTGGTACTATTGGCTTTTCACTCTTTCCACATGACTGCTTGCCAAACCTCCATGGCTATCTCAGAAAGGAATAGTTGTCTCCCTCCTCTGAGCAGCTGCCAAGATTTACAACTTGTAAATGGAGAGATGCTTAGTATTTTAGAGGCCCTGCTGCTCTTCCAGAGGACCCAGGTTGGATTCTCAACACCCATGTGGTGGCTCACAACCACCTGTATGTAATTCCAGTCCCAGGAGTCCCAGTGCCCCTTTCGGGCCTCCATGGGCAACAGGCACACACGTGTGGTACTCAGATACACATTTAGGTGAAACACTCTTATACATTAAAGTAAGAGAGAAAGAAATTATAGCTTACCTCCCCTGTGGTTTTTTTTCAAAAATATTTTGTGAAGATAAGCCAGACATGGTAACATATGCTTTTAATCCAAGCACTTGGGAGGCAGAGGCAGGCAAATCTCTGTGAAGTCAAAACCAGCCTGTTCTACATAGGAAGTTCCACAACAGCCAAAGCTAATAGTGATCCCCAGGAGAGTGGGGTTGGGTGGGGTGGGTGAGTTAAAATGCATTCTTGGGTTTCATAGGAAACTGAATTTTGCTAGGCATAGTTATATATTCCAGTGCATGATGTTTAAGAGGAGCATATATATGTTGAAGGCCAGCCTATAATGCAAACAAGACCCTGTCTGCAAAAACAAAAAAGAATGAGAATTTGTATCTAGGGGTTGCTATTTAGAGATAACTATGGGGCAGGAGAGATGGCTCAGAAGTTAAGAACACTGGCTATTCTTCCAGAGGTTCTGAGTTCAATTCCCAGCAACCACATGGTAGCTCACAACCTTCTATAATGAGATGTAATACATAGTAAATAAATCTTTAAAGAAATTGTTTAAAGATAACTTGTGTATATATATATATATATATATATATATATATATATATAAAAATTTTGGTTTGGTTTTGGTTGTTCAGTTTTCATTTTCCTTGATTTTCTCTTTAGATATCTTCTTACAAGGCAGACAATTTCATGAAGCCTTGGAAAGCATACTCTCACCCCAGGATAACTTAAAAGGGACAGAAGAGCACCTGCAATGTGGCTATATCAAAAGTGTCCAGCATATTTTGAAAGAAATCAATGGTGTGCAAGCTCTGGAAAGTGCTGTCCAGCACGAGGCCTTGAAGTACATAGGGCTGCTGGACTGTGTGGCTGAGTTCCAGTAAGTACGAGAATGTTTCCATCATAGTGAGCAATTCAGAGATGTCCACGGGCAGCTGTCTCGTACATCACTTCAAGACGTGCCTGAGGAATTGTAGCCTCCACCTTTTTAAAGTAACAAAGAAGTGGGAATAGAGCAGAAGGTGGGAGAGATACAGCAGGGAAAGCTGTGTATCCCTGGCTGTGCCGATAAGAAAATCAAAGTGGGGGAAGGTGTGCTTTTCAGTAGCCCTAGCATGCTCCCTTCTCCCTTCTCTCCAAGAAAGATGCCAGCTGCTGGACCCAGTTGATTCCTGCCTGCTCTTTTGTGTTCCTTTTTAATCAGTGTTTTATTTTAGTTTCTACATCCCCCCCCCTTTTTTTTTTTTTCCTGTTTTGACTTAGATTGTACAGTGATCTGTTGGCCCTGAACATCAGCACTCTTCCTGGCTTCCAGGCAATGGCTGATATGATAAGGCCACTACTGATTCTGGGTTGCTGCTGTTACTGTTTTCCCCAGTCATTCCAGATTCTGGGGGTGGCTGTCTTCTGCAGATAGCCCATTCCAAATGAAGCCTCTAAGCAAAAACAGGATGGGGGGGGGGGGGAAGAGTGTGGAACCTGTGTACATGATATCTGAACTTTTGACTACATAGTTTTTTGAGACAAAGATCTCACCATGTAGCCCTGGCTGTCCTGGAACTCACTCTGTAGACCAGGCTGGCCTTGAACTCAGAGACCAACCTGCCTCTGCCTCCCAAGTACTGGAACTAAAGGTGGGTGCCACCATCCCCAGCTTCCGAACTTAACTGACATCATTTCTGTCCCTGACTTATTTCAGTCAGCACACTGTCCTTTATCCATCTATATTGTCCCAAGCGACAGAATTGCCTTCTTCTCTTCTTTTTTGTTGTTATTTGTTTTTTTGTTTGTAGAGGCAGTCTCTCTCACCACGTAGCCTTCACTGACCTAGAACTCACTATATAGATCAGGCTGGCCTCAAACTCATGGAGATATGCCATCGTCTGCCTCCTGAGTACTTGGATTAAAGATGTGTTTCACCAAGCCTGGGCCCTTCACTCTGTTTTGAATGTTCACAGTGGGTATAGTATACCAGAATGGGTGGAGTAAGGAAGTGTCTGTCTACATCTTTAGGCGAAGATCCATGTCTCCTTACTTAAATGTTTACATATCATAGGTTCCTACTGATTGAACCTCAGCTTTTATTTTGAAGTGCCATAATGTGTAATCATTACGAGTCCCTTATTACTGATATATTGTTCTTCAAAAAAAGTAACCAAGACCATGATAGGTGTAATTTCAGTTACTGTCAGCTGTTAAAGTAGAAGAATCCAGGGAAATCCCAAGGAATAAAGAGAATTATTATTTGAACTTCCAAGTGTGCTTCCTACTCCTGAATAGCTTTGTATATAACAATGCTGAGCCTATCCAGTCCTATCCATCATGGCTTTTCCCCCTAAGGCAAGAACCCACCCTGTAGCCAGGCTGCCTTTGAACTCAGGCTCCTCCTCCTGCCTCCATATCATAGTTGTGAAGACCATGCCTGTCATGCTTTTCTAACCCTAAGAAATAAAGCCTCTTTTTTTGGAAGTGGGGGATAGAAACAAAGTACATTAAGAGACAAAGGAGAAGAGTTAACTTAATAGCTTTTTTAATGTTTCAGGGGATTTCCGTTTCCTATCTGACAACAACCATGGGAGTTTGCTCTCCCAGGCATTCAACTTGGGTTATCAGGCTTGGCAGCAGGCGCCTTTAACCACCTCCACCCCCACCCAACTCCACCCACACACACACCCCAGCCATCTCGCTGGCCTGAGTTTTTCAGTTTGAATTGTTACTTACAAAGACTTCCTCTGGATTCTCCTTAGAGGCAAGCTGTGTGTGATTGATTGGAAGACATCAGAAAAACCAAAGCCTTTTATTCAAGATACATATGACAACCCACTACAAGTTGTGGCGTACATGGGTGCTGTAAACTATGATGCCCACTACAGTTTTCAGGTCAGAACCTTGAGCTCCTGCTTGATAGGCTTTTGTGTGTGTTTTTTGGGTTTTACTCTTGGTTTACAACACTGCTGACTGTTCCTTAGGGTTCTCTTGCCTCCAGAGCACTTCTTCCCTTCCTGGGCAAGTCTGCCACTCCCATTCTTGCTTAATGAGCACAGTCCAGTCTTCAGTGTTTTATCTGCCATCTTCTGTGTCCTGGTGCAGTCTCTAATCAGCTCATCTTAGAAACTGATTTGGAGGTACCATTATAGAGTGCTTAGCACTGGCTGGTTTGCCCTGGAACAAGAGAGAATACTGGAGCTGTGCTGTGTTCTTTTCTAGGTTCAGTGTGGCTTAATTGTGGTGGCCTATAAGGATGGGTCCCCTGCCCACCCTCATTTCATGGATGAAGAGCTCTGTTCCAAGTACTGGGCCAAGTGGCTTCTTCGACTAGAAGAATATACAGAAAAACAAAAAAATCAGAGTATTCCAAAGCCGGACTAGAGGCCAGAGTATTACTTGGGAAGGTTCAGCGAATTCGAGAATTATGTTAACACAAACTGAAGATGTAATATATTGCTACTGAGAAGCCAAGAAGTCCAGAAGTCAGCATTTGACCAACTGTACTATCTTTATTTCCTACCTGAGAACAGGGCACACAGGATTGGCAGTCACCTTGATGAATTTTGAACTCTCTTGCACGTCTTTTTTGTGTTCCTGGCAAGTTGCCTTGTCTTTGAATTGAGATCAGAAGGCGGTGAAGCTTCATGTACCAGGCAGATCCCCAAAGTTCTCAGGGAAGGGAGGGGTCATGTACTGCCCGAGTGTATAGAAAGAGCACATCAGCCATCACCACTGTAATAGATTCCTAAAAGGTGCTTTATACAGTAGGACTCATATCATTAGGGGGAAACTTCTTAACATTGAATTCATTCATATGTGAGTATTTGGCTCAGCAAACCTGGCTGCCCACAAAGCTGTAACATTGACCAGATCCTTTTCCATACCAACTAAGCCCAGCAGTAGTAACCATTGTCAGGGTTTTAATATCAGTTTTTGGTGTCATTCAGCAGGCGTTGTACTAGAAAAAAATACTGTCACAGGATTTTTCGGCTAAGAGCAATACTGGTGTAATATATTCCCCCCTGTGTTTGATAGGTAATCATTGGTTGCCTTGGATTTGGGGAGGTTAAATAAATGCCATTATTTCCCTGGAGGAAGGTTTTCCTTTTTTTTGTATTTTTTTTTTTTAAAGACAGGGTTTCTCTGTGTATCACTGCCTGTCCTGGAACTCACTCTGTAGACCAGGCTGGCCTTGAACTCACAGAGATCTGCCTGCCTCTGCCTCCTAAAAAAAGAAAAGGTAACTAACCGACTCAACAGTTAAATGCTTCCTGCTTTCAGAGGACCAGAGTTTGGTCCCCAGCGCCCATGTCTGGCAGCTCACAGCTGCCCGTAACTCCAGGCCCAGGGGACCCAATATCCACTTCTGAACTCTGAGGGCATCTGTACTCATATGCATACACATAAATAATGAGCTTTTAGTTTTTGTTGAGACAGGCTTTCTCTGTGTACCTCTGGTTGTCTTGGAACTCACTCTGTAGACCAGGCTAGTGTTGAGTAAGAAGCTTTTTTTTTTTTAAGAAAATAAGAGTAATAAAGTATTTTGTTTGTTCTTATTTAAATGTGTATTTTTTGTGGTGCTGGGATCAAACTCTTGGCATGTGCTGGGCATGTGTGTCTAATCCTTGTACTTTGTTTTTAAGTCCACAATTTTACCACCAGCCCAGTAGCTTACTGAGTTCTATATGATAAAAGAAGGTGTTCTAAGTGAGCTCTCAACCATAGTTCCCTGACAAAGTCAGTAAGATGCAGATAGAGAAATATGTTAGGTTCACTAAAGGAAGTGAACCAAGGAAATATAAAATGATTGACTTAAATTATAGGTCTGGGTAGCCAACAGTGATTCATTCCAGAGAATGCAGAAGCTGGATGCTTGTCAGTTCCTGTCAGAGTGGAAAGCCTCAAAGCCCCCTGGAGAGTCACTGTGTTGAGTGCTGTTTGAAGGCTGACTTGCAAAATGCCGTTGTTGATACAAGTACTGTCAAAGCACAGCTCCAGGCAGGCGTCCATTAAGGGTTCACCCACAACTTGTCCACAGTGTTGATACTCAAATGACATCACTTGAAGTCTCAATCTGATGAAAGGGAAATGGACATTTTAAACATTTTTTTCTTTAATTTTTTTATATGTATGAGTATATGTCTCTTGAGTGTAAGCCATAGGTCTGCAGAGGCCAGAAGAGGACATCAGATCCCCTGGACCTGGAGTTATAGGCAGCTGTGAGCTGCTGGACATGGGCGCTGGAAACCAAACTGGTCCTCTGAAAACAAAGCATTTAACTGCTGTCATCTCTCCAGCCTCCAGATGCATATATTTCCATAAATGGGGAGAGGTGTTGGAGAAAGTGCTTGATGGCTAAGAGCAGTGGCTTGGTTCCCAGCATCCACATGGTAGCTCACAATAGTCTAACTCCAGTTCAGGAAATCTGATGCACTCTTTGGCCTCTGAGGGCACCTGTACTCACATTTATATGCCCACACAGCCTTAAAAAATTGGACATGGGGTCCTATGTATACAGTTCTGCTGTTCTGAAGGCTGAGGCAGGAAGACATATTGAACCCAGAAGGTGAGGGCCAGCATGGAAAAATAGTGAGATAGTGAGATATTCACTTTGTCCGCACCTGTGGCACAGACCACGCCCATTGGGGGTAGAGATGGGGCTGATGTTACCTGGGGTAACTAAGTCTGAGGAGGGGGCTCAGAGAGCTTGCTTGCTTGCAGCACAGGGACAGGAGTACATCTGGAGGCATCCTTGGGACCAGGAACCTGCTAGTGTTCATCTGTCTATGTTGTGTGTTATTTCTCCCTGAATAAACATCTATTCAGCCTATTTGTTTCTCCTGATCCTTATTAAACATCAATAGACTCTCCAGAAATGACCTCTATAAAGGCGTATAATAATAAAGCCAAACTTGAATAACTCAATTTTTGGATGCCTCCTTTTCCTCTAAATGGTATATATTAAAATCCAGTGAAATAGGTTTTCTGAGTATAAAACGTTTTATATATTTTGAGGCGGGGTCTGGTCTCACTGTGTAGCCAGCCCAGTCTTAACCTTGAATATTCTGTATCACAGTACCTAGTTGAGCTGTGGCAATCCTTCTGTTTCATCTTCCTGAGGGCTGGGAGAACAGGTATGCACTGCCATGCCACACTTTATTAAAGGTTTTAGAAAACAGTTTACCTAGCCAGGCATTGGTGGCGTACTTGGGAGGCAGAGGCTTGCGGATCAAGCCAGCCTGGTCTGCAGAGCTAGTTCCAGGACAGGCTCAAAAGTAGTACAGAAAAACCTTGTCTCTAAACACCAAAAAAAAAAAAAAAACAAAAAAATTTACCCTTTAAAAACATTCATTATGTTGTATGTGTGTGTACAAATGCACACACAAGTAAAAGGACAACTCTATGGAGTTGGTTCTCTTTTACCACATAGGTCCTGGGAATTATTTTCTTTTTAAAAATTTGACTTACAAGATGGATGGCACAGTAGTTAAGGGCACTTGCTGCTCTTCCAGAGACCCAGATTTTGTTTGCTGGAATCCACATGGTGTTCACAACCATCTGTAACTCCAGTTCCAAGAGATGTGATGCCCTCTTCTGACCTCCAAAGGCACCAAGCACACATGTACACAAACATACATGCAGACCAAATATAAAAAAGAATCTAGGGGCTGGAGAGATGGCTCAGCAGTTAAGAGAACTGGCTGCTCTTCCAGAGGTCCTCAGTTCAATTCCCACATGTGTAATGAGATCTGGTTCCCTCTTCTGATCTGCAGGCAGAACACTGTATATGTAATAGGTAAGTAAATCTTAAGAAAAAAAATCTAATAAAAATATGTTTGAAGATTCTATTTGTGTGCGTGTGTGTGTCTGTGCGCATGTGCATCATGGATCTGAAGTTAATGGTTGTAAACCCAGTGTGGGTTCTAGAAACTGAACATGGGTCCTCCACAAGAACAGCAAGTGCTCTTTTAAGCCATCTCTCCAGTCCCAGTTCTGGGAATCTTACTTAACTTGGTTTATCTGGCTTGATAGCAAGTGTCTTTGCTCCCTGAGCCATCTTGAGATGTCTTTACAGAAATAGATATGATCTGGTAGTTCTTAGTTTTTGAGACAAATATCACTATATTTTCTTTTCCAATATAATTCAGGGCTGGTGATAAAGCTCTACAGTGGAGGATTTACCCAGCATGCACAAGGACATGGGCTTTGGCCCCAGTGCTACAGAAACAGCCTGATGTAACTCTACTCATTCATTGCTTTAGAATAGGGGAGACACTGACAATGAAAAACAATTTCAATTTAACCCCAAGCTATTCCCCCTTCCCTTCAGCCCTGACCTCTTCATTGCAGCCATTAGCTGGTGATGATCTGAGAACATTAACCTCTAAGAACCTATTTTTAAGTGATAGGCAAACTTGTCAGCATGTGACCCTGTGGTTTTATGTGTTGACCTTGGCAAATACAGGAAAAGGATTGGTTAGTGAGACTGTTTCTAGGTAACCAATTTGCCTAACAGCTTTAAGAGGCACTAGAAGGGAGTAATTTGTTCTAATCACTGCAGCTTTCCACCTGAGCAATTAACATTTGATTACAACTTACCCTACCCTCCCCCAGATGCAGAAAAGTGAAGTAAGGGAATAGCCAAACATCTATTTTTAAAGCATGTTTTGAGCCAGTACCTAAAGGAAACCATTCTAAAGCAATCAACCCTAAGTATAGGGCAGAACTGACAGCCTTCTGCCCCACCCCCACAAGCCTGATAAATATAAAACGACATTCTGGGTTGGGGTTTAAGGTTCTCCCATTTTGCTTAGGAGCTATAAATAGATGAGAAATATAAAGTAAGAACACTAACAGATGAGTTCACTGTGTGTGTTTCCCTGGCCCCATTCCCCTCCTCAGTGAGAAAAACAGCATGTTTGGATCTGTCTAACGTATACTTTTATAGATTTAGGACATGGACTTGTCTCCATAAATAAGGAAGTTTTGCTGTTCTGTGTTTTTGGTTTTTAGGCTTTTTTTTTTTAATCTTCCTGTCAATGCTGGAATTAAACAAGGGCCTTTCATGTTCTGGACAAGTGCTATGCCATGCCCCTCAACAATGTTTTTGAGATCTATCCAGGTTGATCACATGTGCATTGTTTATTATTATTATTATTATTTTATTTTGAAACAGGGTCTCTACATAGCCCTGCCTGTCCTGGCACTCGCTACATAGAGCAAGCTGGCCTCAGACTCATAGAGTCTGCCTCTGCTTCTCCAGAGCTGGGGTTAAATATGCATGCTACAGCCAGCATTGGCATTAGTTTTAACTACTCTGTGGCATTCCCTCATGATTCCTGTCATGCTAATGAATTATTACATTAACTTTTGACGGTGCCCACAGTGCTTCGGCGAACACTTCTCTACGTGATTTCCAGGGTATGCAAAGCACATGCAATACAGTGCAAAGTAAACTTGTGACTGTCATTTACTAGCTCTGTGACCCTGAACAAATTACCTAGAAACATACTTAGGCACATATATAAACAGATACATGTTATACGTAAATATAACATGTTATATATTACATATATTTACATGTGCATGTAACAATTAATGAAAAAAGCAGTCCATGAGTCTGAAAGAGAGCAAGGAGGGATATATGGAAGGGTTTGGAGGGAAGAAAGGGAAGGGGAAAATGGTATAAATATAATCTCAAAAATAAATAATTAAAATATTTCTCTTCAAAATGACATGATCAACTGAAACACCCACAAGCAGTGTCTAGTTTTCTGATTTTTCCACATCTTCATCAACATAAAAGTTGCAAAACTTTCCCCCAAGCTGATAGGTTGAAAACAATCCATTTGAAACACTAATCATAATTGCTTACATGAACTCCGCTTTAGAACGGGATTGCCATCTAGTGGTGACAAGTTGCACTGCAGGAGCCAGAAACAGGTACACCTTTCTTTGGGTATCTCTGCGTTAAGTGACCTATATAGGTCTGGTTTGATTTTATTTATCTTTTTGTTTTGTTTTATTTTTGTTTTGTTTTTTTGAGCTAGTCACATACTACTAATCTTCCTGCCTCAAACTCCTGTGTCT